CAAAACCCCAAAACCCCAAAACCCCAAAACCCCAAAACCCCAAAACCCCGTAATTGATGCATTTCAAATTATTTGAAGAGAAAATTAATTGAAATGTATTATGTGAATTCACATAAATTGTATAAACTAATACTTTGAACAACTCTGACAAGTTCTATCGTCAAATCTAAAAAGAGCTTCTAGATTTATGCTGATTGTTCTCATCACCAACAATCATTCTAGATGATGCCTTTCCATATTCAATTTCTCTCAAACTGCCTCTTGCTGTTTTTCTTCTTCATCTGATCCCATCGGGATATCTTCATCATCTTCACCGTCAAGTCCTTACAAATCAGAGGTTTCACTAAGTTCACTACCCTCCCCATCTTCTTTGTGATCGTTCCCATTCATATGATTATGAGCATGTCCATTTTTTTATTCCTCTTGATTTTTGTCATTATTTTTTGTTTGCTATTTGATTTTATCAAAATACTCTTAGGATGCATTCATCTTCACATGATCTCTTACCTAAATGAATATTAACAAAAGTTATTCAAGAGAGGAAACATAGGAATTTAATTATTTCTCAGAAATTTATAGAATTATCAATTACCTTTTCCTTGAATTTTTCAAAGTTTTTATTGTACAAATTAGCTGCTTCTGGATTCAAGGGATCTGCTGGATTTGGATATAGTAGCAATTGTGGCAAGAATACATCAAATATATTAATCAAATCAAACATTGGAGACCAAGTTTGATTTATAACATCCAAACAAACACTTCCTGATGCCTCATCAATGTTAGGATGGTAGATTCTGTTGACAAAGCCAATAGATGGAGATTTATAAGGATACTAATCTGGCAAAATGACTCTTACTCTCCAAGCACCCTATAAATATTAAATGAGTAAGAGCTGAATTTTCCCAACGAAAAATGTATTGCAAAATGAAATTTAAGAATTTTGGCAAATATTAGTCAATAGCGGTTTGCTGTAATATTATGCTATAACTTACCCCTTCGTAAGGTGAATCGGATGGCCCGATGAATTTCACAATGAATTCAGACATATTATTGTCATTTATGAGGTTAACATCATAATCACTGACAAGAAGCTTCATAACATCTTTGTCTCTGCGTTTGTTGGTGGACACCATCAGTAGTCTTAAGTTTTAATTTGTAAATTAAATTATTATGCTGATTTTTAATACTTTTAAATTTAACAATTGGCTCAACTAACTATTAAAGACTTTTTATACATTAAAAATAATTCAATAATGTTATGGGAGATTTCTGTTCTGAACAAGATATACAAGACAAATACATTTTCAAGGTTGAAGTCTAGAGTTCATAATGGCAGGAAAATTTATGTTATATCAAGTAATAACAAATTTTCCTCAGTTGTAACAGAATTGGAAAAGGGTGATGAGATCAACTGCCATAATGATGAGGATCTACTAAGAAAGTACTTTGGAAAAAGCCACAAAATTGATCTTTATGATAAACCTAGTGATTACTTATCAGATCTGTATCTTTACGACAGCATATTTGAACTAGCCAAAATGGCTGATAGTTCTGTAATATCCTTATATTTATAATGAGCTTTAGATTCCAAATGAAACCGCTATCTAATGGATTAAAAAATTATTTTCTGGATTTAACTCAGATATTAATGAAAGTGATTCCCTAAAAAACGCTTACGATTTAAACAGACACCTTGCCCTAAGGTCTGCTGTATTAAATCATTAATTATCTTACATAGGTTAGTTAGTCTTAACTTAATAAATTATTTAGACATAATTGCTTCGTCTGCTGTCAGAAGAAATCCATTTGCAAGGGAGTTATTATCAAAGAATAATGTTTAAATGTTGAATATTCTAAGATGGAACAAATGGATAGATGATATTACTCAAATTGATTTCAACAAAATTTAAGTTTACCATTTAAAAAAGGAGGGAAAAATTTAAGAAGCAATGACTAAATTTACCTCTAGCAAGGATCTTATAATGGCAGTAAAAAAGAACTAGTATGATAAGGTTAAGTAAATACTAGATAAAAATGTAAGATTAAAATTGCCATTATTTTTAATCTAATCAGAAAAATGCGGTTCATTCAAGAGATACTGATAAAACCAACGAATCACTAGTCCATTTGGCAGCAGAAAGGGGTGATATAGAAATGATAAAACTATTACAAAGCTATGGAGCAGATATTGATGGAATGGATAAAGAGAGCGCTACTCCATTGTTTTATGCTTGCCAGATGGGCAAATTAGATATTGTAAAATACCTTGATTCTCAAGGTGCAAAAATACATCATAAAGAATTTTAAGAAAGGACCGCATTGTATATGTAAGATTTGATATTTATTAAAATATTGCTAGTGCTGCCTCTTCTGGGGAGATGGAAATACTAAATTATCTTATGGATAGAGGATGTGATGTTGATGTTCCAACCAAACTTGGAAGATCAGCGTTGAGCAAAGCTTGCTGGAATGGGAGAATTGAAGTTGTAGAAAAGCTGGTTTCAGCACCAAATATCAATATAAATAAGCAAGACTTGTCAGGTCGTACTGCTCTTCATAATGCTGTTTGGTAATACAGTTAATTGGTTATCATAATTTAGGGGTCCAAACGGAGGAAGATTAGGGATAAAAGCAGGAATGAATCCCAAAGACTCACCAGAATGCGCTTATGTATAATATCTAATTATTTATTTTACTAGTATTTATTGATTCACGGAGCAAACCCAAATATCAAAGATACCAAAGAAAATACTAGTATTAGCATTGCTTGCTCAACAAATGCTGTTGATAGTATAGATGTTTTAATGAGTTTCAAAGCTGATATTACAATTTAAAATTCGAAGGGAAATTATCCTATCCATATGTGTCTCTATAGAGGAAATATTCATTGCTATGAAAAGCTAAGCAAATATAGTAAATCTGCTTTATTAATATTTAATAGATCCTGATTTGAATGTAAGAAATTATTGGGGTTTCTCACCATTTGAAGCAACGATTGCCACTGATAAATAAAGTGTGATTTTGTATTTCATTTAGAAGGCAATTAATGGGGAAAAAGTTCCCATTGAATTGGATATTAAACATCAGATTTTTGAAAATGAGAGATGCTTGAGAATATTAATCGACTATAACAGTTATAAGACTTTATCAGTGATTATAACTCAAGTTACATATTAAGATGAATAGATCTCAAAGAAATTGATAGAATATTTCCTTAAAGAAGGACTTATTAGGTCAATACTCCTAAATCATTGGAAAATTTGGACTGTCATTTTTGAATTCTTTGAAGATGAAAAGGTTCAAATTCCTTAATAGCTACTAAATGATATTCTTTTATGCAGTATAGCTCAAGATTTAAATTTTGAATTTTTCTTTGACAAATTCCTAAAGATCAGATAAAGAGAGGTAATACTTACATTATTAACTTGTTCTATTAGATGCCATTATTTGCAGTTAAGGCCTGCTGTTTCACAAAGAACTCTGATTTTCTGTTCAAAATTGTCGAAGCTTACTAGAATTATAATCAAAGCACAATTCTACAAACTTTGACAGAAGAGCATTAGAAAAAATTTGATATTGAGGGTCTTTTAAATCATGAATATAATGAAGGAAAAAAGATCTTAAAAAAATTTAACTATTAGTAGATGTTCTAGTCCTTTTCTGGTTATAACCCACTCCATTTAGCTATTTTGAAAAATAGTTTTGAGTCTGTCCGATTAATCATTGATGAAACTAATATTGATGTATGCCAGCTTACTTAAAATGATGAGAGCTGTATATTACTAGCTTGTAAGAATGGTGTGAATATAGAGATTTTGGAAAGTCTACTTGTTGGATTAAGAAGTATTAAGCCATTAGATGAGGTAAAGGAATTTCTTAACATATAAGATAAGTCAACCCTTAAGGCATTCGATTATTGTAAAATAAGAAAGAGAACTGATTTAGCAGTGATTCTTGGAGATTTTGTTGATTCAAGCAAATCAGTTATAGAGATTGGTTATGAACTAGTTAATCTTGACTTCAAGGGTTAGGCTAGAATGCTATTTGACAAAGAAATTTAATCGATAACAAATCTAAATCATTTGGAATAATACTTTCCGCTCTAAGAACCATTTTTAAAGTCTCAATTCAAAATGAAATTTGAGAAAAGTATCACAAAATAAATAAAGCCTCTTCATTTTACCCCTTTCACTTGGATTGATAGTGAGGAAATTATGATTAAAGCGATAAGTAGCATGAAAGAATAATTAAGCTAATGTAATTTGCTTTCAGTCGATCTTGAATATCATAATCTAGCTCGAGTAAGTTAAATACGGACCTAATTTAATATTTTTTAGCATACAAGCATAGTTTGCTTAATTTAGATGTCGACTTATAATTAAGATTATATCATTGATGTATTGAGAACTAAAGACTTTGTTTGCAACTATATTAAGGAAATATTTATTGATCAAAAAATTGTCAAGATATTCCATGGATGTGACTCTGACATCCAAATTCTTGCTGTAAATAATACTAATTCTTAATTAAATTTAGAGTGATTTAGATATTTTTGTTGTTAACTTGTTTGATACTGGAAGAGCTTATCAAATGATTTAAAAAATGCCGGAAAATGCACCTAAACATATGGATTTAGCTTCTCTTGAAACTCTTTGTGAGAAATTCCTTGGAATATAAATGGATAAATTCTTCTAAATATCTGATTGGAGAATAAGACCTCTTCCTTAAGGGATGATTGACTATGCAAGATCAGATTCTCATTTCCTGATACCGTTATATGTTATATTCCAACAAATACTAATAGGCTAAATTAATAATCTTTGGTTGAAGGATGAAACATCCCAGGAAGATTGGGTTATTCATCTTAAGAAATTAAGCACAGACAAAAAGAATAAGCATTTCAACGGGTTAGGAATATTGGCAAAGATGACTAATGATTTTTCCGTTGAAAAGATCTTGAAGACAAATAATTAGAGAGTGAAGATTACAATTAAAAATTGAACAAATCTTAATTTAATAACGAATTCTGATTTTTCTTTTTAACCATAGAATAAGGGGGTTTTGGGGTTTTGGGGTTTTGGGGTTTTGGGG